GGCTTCGGTTTTAGGGTTTAGGGTTCAGGGTTTAGGGCTACTTGGGGTTCAGGGTTTAGGGTTTAGGCTGGTTTAGGGTTTAGGGTTTAGAGTTTAGGGATTTGGGGTGTTGTGGATTTATTTATTAGGGGCATCGGATTGCGAAGGCTTCAAGGATATAGGCTTGGTGCTTTGAAGTTTTTTTAGTGTTTCGGATTTCAGGATTGGCTTGGAGGTCTAGGCGTCCGGCATAAGGCGTATACGGCTTCGGCTTTGAAGGTTAAGGTTCAGTGAGTTAGGGTAGAACAAGGCACCAATAATGTTGGGAGCCGAAAAAGAAACTGACCTCCGTCGATTTACACACTTCAGAAGCAAGTGACTGTGGCATTTTTGAATTCTTCCCTGCCCAATCATGCGATTTGCTGGGTCCAATGACCCTTAATAGACCAGATTGGATCGTGCGGAAAGTTGCTCTTTTTTTCTTGACCTCTGTTCTGGTCTTGGAACGTCTGACAGAAGACTTAACATGTTCGCTCCATGCTGGGACACGCTGCTGATCTGCACCAGTACAAATTCGAAAATCTCATTCTCACAAGCTTGTAGATGCATTCCTGGCCCAGTGAGAGTGTCTTCTAAAATTGCTGGCTCAACTGATCTTGCTGCCAGTGGTTTCTCGATACCTGCAGGTTGGAACCATGGTCTTTGGCTCGGGAAGGCTGCAGGCACCGACGTCCTTATCATTGGGGCGGTGTCTTTGTCACACGGTCCGTGCGTGGCTTTGACACGTGCTTTGACGCTGACTTCGCTGCCTGCAGCTGGCTCTTCCAGGACAACTTCTTCATATTCTTCTTATCTGAGGAAGATGAGAAGATCTTCGTGGAGAGATTGACGGCCGCAAATTGAGGGTGAAAAGCTGTCACCGGCGAGCGGCCAGGGCCAGAACTTTCAAGCCTCTGGTATATTGTAGTAAACTGTTTAAACTCTACCAGGGATTGGAGGGAATGGTCAGCCTGGGGTTTAGGGTGTGGTCAGTTTTGGGTATATAATGCTTCTATAAGGCTTCTATAAGGCTCCTATAACGGTAACCACCCACCTGAAAAGCTCCTAGATCCAGTTCGCGGAGCCGGGAAACCCTTATTCCTCCTAACCTTGGGATTCTAAACGCCCCATACTGCAGGGGCGTTAATATTTTTGAGGTACATCATGGTATGATTATAATAAGGAACCATGAGGAATAATATTGGCAATGATTTAGGCTCCTATAACAACCTTGAACCTTCAGTCCGGGAAACTGTAGCCCCACAACGCCTAAGTTCGAATGTCCCCCTATCGAGGGTTTAGGGTTTAGTGTTTAGCGTTTACTTTTTAGGCCCTTTCTTGTCATTGTTCAGTTGGACAGGGAACCCCAAATCAAAACAAAAAACAAGGTGTTACGGGGGATCCCCGTACCCAAAGCCCAAAACCCCAAACTCCCAGGCTAAGAATCTCGATGTCTGACATCGATGCTTTTAGTAAGTTGAGGAGGGCCACGAAAGTCCCTAAACCCTAAACCCTAAACCCTAAACCCGAACCCCTAAAATTAAGCAAGCCAGGAGGCGACATGGCTCTGCTTTGCCATCTTTCTCACAGAAGAAGTTGTCTGGACAAACCTGGCCGCGTGCTCATGTGCTCTTTCCCTTCGCGGTTCAGAGTTACGCCCAGGTCGGTGTTACGGCAGGGGTGCTTAGGGCCGAGGGCTTGGACCAAGCAGGATAGCAAAAGTAGAAGTAATCGTACTGGTAGATAGTGGTTACACCTGTACGACTGCTGCACCCTAAGCCGACCGATCCCACAGGGCTTGTAGAGCTTCAGAAATTTAGGATCTCCGTTAAACGGTGTTTTTAAATGGGGCTTCGGGCGTAGGGTTTAGGGTCTTGGAGTCTGAAAAGCCACCTTGGAAATTGAGCTCTTTTGCTTCTGGGCAGCTTCCAGCAAATCGATGAAAATAAGGGACATGAAACGGGTCCCCACACATCATGGGCATGTAGGCCTGGGCCTTCACTGACCCACTTTCCAGAAAATTCCGACAGCTGATGGTGTACTTGGTGCCCTAATGCAGCACAGAGGACCATCTGGATAGAGGTCTTCAAAAGGCCATGCTCATCGACGACTCCGCTCCCCCTACACAGGGTGCTCCCGAGCGCAGCGTCATCCAGCGCCGCAAGGAGTGGCAGCCTCAGAGGCCGCAATCCGCCTGGTAAACGCAGCTTCCAACAGCTCGTGCGCCCTCGGCAGTGGCAGCAGCTTGCCCCAAACTTCAACCCTAAAACTTAAACCGTAAAACCTACACCCTCAACCTTAAGCCTCAAACCCTATACACCCGAAACCTGAAGCCCTAAACCCTAAACCCTAAACCCTAAGCCCTAAACCCTAAACCCTAAACCCTAAACCCTAGCAAAGCGGGCTTCGGACTGCAGAAC